AGTACATCACCACACCATCTGACCACAGACTGAAAGCCAGAACCTGGGAGCCAAGGCAAGTCTTCCTTCTCCTAAATTGTTTCTGTCGCAGGCAATTAGTGCCAGGGCGAGAAGTTGTGTAGGTACCGAGCTTTATGTCAGATCTGAGCATGCGCAGTTGGGGAGTGGGCTGGACTTCACAAATAACCGAGGCATTTCCTCGGCCGCTATTCCTTCCCAGTGGAGCCCGTGCCATTTACTTCCCTGTGGCTTCTTACTGTCTGGGCAGAAGTTTGGGTATTAAAAGCCACCATTGCCCACGCTTTGGGGCACATTTCCTGTGGCTGGAGCTCAGTCCAAGGCCAACCGGGCGAGGACACGCCATCCTCTTGGAGCTACAGCCTTACAGCCTCAGCTCTAAGGGCGAGTTGCCTTTTCCTCTGAATGGTGGAGGTCTTTTGGGCTCCACTTTTGCTTTTACCCGTTTAGTGGGGTTGTCTTGGAGCTGGGATACGAGAATGAGGGACAGGGGAAGTTGGGGGATGAGAGGTTTTCCGGCCCTCTCTGGGGAACTGCGGCTGCCTTCCTTCTCTTAGACTGAATGGCAGGTCTGCTCTGTGCTTTCTGTCTGTGCGAGCTGTCCCGAGTGGGGACAGCGCCGTGGCAAAGGATGAAAGAGGTTACACTTGCCTTCAAGACACTAGGGATTCCAGCCCGCAACCCCATCCCATCTGTCTGCAAGTATTTCCTTGTGTGACCTTTTAAAGGACTACTCTGCTTCCCATCCAGGGTTCCTTGTGTTTCATGGGTCAGAGGATGTGCCCAGCCAGACATGAGACTCAACTCTCATGCCAACAACATTTCTGGTACGGTACCAGAGTTTGAGAAATCGCTACAAAACACGTGACCCGATCATCCTTGATCTTTCTAAGTCAAGGCTGAGTCTAAGAACCAAGGCAGTAACAGTAGGCCTGGACAGTCTGGTATCTAAGGATAGCATAGGATGCAGGGGGCTGAATCCCACAGACCCTCAGGAGGGGCTGGATTTATGTTCTGTCCAGATACCACAGTGTGGCTCCCCTCCCCCGACCATTCCTACGACCCTCTTCTAGTTCCCAGGAGGAAAGAAGAGTTTCCTTCAGTCACTGTTCCCTGCCCACCAACAGATGATCCCAGTTACCACACAATTGCTAAATAATTTTACTTATTCTGGTTTGTTTCTCCCAGAAAGCCTTGGCTTGCCTGACCGAAATATCAACACACACTCAGCTCCTCATCTTTAGTTTGAATCAAGGTTGTGCAATTGTGTCCCTTTCCTCTGGCATAGCCAAGGTTGTTAGCCAGCTCTCCTGGTGGAAAATGCTGGCTCTAAAGCCTTCTAGGGCCTTGGGAATGTGCTTTGGGGAGTACACTGATAAAAAACAGCCAAAACCCTGATCATTTAAATCACCCATTGTATGTGACTTTCCAAATGAATTGTGCCATTGGAACACTAAAGGAATGGGCTGAGAGAGAGAGAGAGAGAGAGAGAGAGAGAGAGAGAGAGAGAGAGAGAGATGCTTCCTTTTTGTTTATCTTAAAATTCTCTTTCTCCTACCTGTCCCCCTATAAAAATGGCTTCTAGAGAGTTTGTGATGCCATGCCATAAGCATGTGTGGCACATGCTTATAAATCCTATCACTCGGGAAGCTGAGGCAGGAGGATTTCAAGTTCAAAGTCAGTACGAGCTGGTGAGTTTAAGAGCAGCCTGGGAAACAGAGCGAAGCCATACCGCAAAGCTCACACCGCCCCCCCCCCCATATCTATCTCTAAGCTCCGATGTGGCTGTTTTTACTTTGACAATTTCCTCATGGGCTGTATGAGATCATTTATGAGGGTGAGGGAAACACTTGTGAAGACAGGAAACGGTTATTCTAAATTTCCAGACAAAGACAGATTTTGCAAGGCAGCACTGATGGCTTTTTCTAGGTCATGGGTGGGCCTTCTTTAAAAGATTTTTTTTTTTTTTTTGATTACCACCAGTTTAGCTGGAGGCTTTTTTCTTGAATTAATGAGTGCTGGCTGGCAGGCAGAGAAGAATTTTAAAAGATTGCTTTAAAAATTTTTTTATTGTCTTTTAGGAATAAAATCTTAGAATCCAGCTTCCTGGCTTTGAGAGATCCAGTTCCTTTTCCTTTTTAAAAGAAACAAAATGTAACGCGGGTATAATAAATGATAAAAATATCCCCAAACCTCTTGTCTGTGCTTGGTGCAGTCATGAGTCAGCCCCCTTGCATGGGATCAGCTTTTACCCTTTGGAAAGTAGGACCTTAAATGTCTGCAAAATAGCATGAGGCAATGGGAACTAGCTTTGTAGAAGAGCTTCTGCTGTCCACCATCTTAATGTTTGAATCCTGTGTAAAAAAGCCTTCTGCTTTCCTTTCGAGATGCAGACCCCAGAGTAAGTGCTAGGCAGGTCTCCTACAACAATAATGGGTCCTTTTCTGGAAGAGTCCAGGAGTGTGCCCTCCTGAGAAGCTCTTGTCTTAGGAGAAGACACCCCCAGTCCTCCCCACCCCTACCCCAGCTCTGTGTGGATGCCCGGGGTCTTACAAAGCAAGAGCATGGATTTCAAAAGCCTAGAGGGGTTTCCTTCCCTTGGTGGGGGGCGTGGCGGGGTGGGGGGCACGCTGTGTGACAGCTCAATGTAATGTTGCACTTGACATTTCCACACAGACTTGTGGGGAACAGACAGACAACCAACACAAAGTGATTTTACTTGCAGCCACCTGCTGCGAAGCAGCTGCTCTACCTGCCTCTGGAGTCATCTGACCGACAGATGGGCCTGGGAGAGTGGCGGAGGTGGCATTGTCATGGTCACTCGATAGTTTAATAGGCACACCGTGCACCCTGGCATTTGGGAAATCCCGTGGAGCAAAACCATCATCATTTTTTTTTTTAAAGAAAATGATGGGTTTTACTCTTTTCTGTTAAACTTGCCTGGGTATTTGAAGGTGCCCATAGAATTCTGTTTGTGGGAGTTTGAGAAGGGCGTTATGTCGATGTGTGCAGTGCAGAATTAAGACAGATGATAATTGAAAGAGATGATAAAAGCGAGTGGTTTCCATGGGGAAATAATCACGACCTGCTGTCAGATTGATTCCAATAAGAGCACTGCTTTATGTGAGATGTTTGTTAAACAGCTAAACCAAAGCAGTAAGCCAGGGCACTAGCGCTGTCTGGCTGCCTGCGTGTTTCCGTCTGAGATTCCTCGGTTTAGGTTAGCCACCAGCCCGGCTGTGTGTAGCTTCTGTGTGGTCAACACTTAGCTGGAAAAGGGGAGTACCGGGTTGTGGGAAGACAATCCCGCATTTAACCAGAGGGATTCACAATTACTGATTGGCGAAGTCACTTCAGTGTGTTAGGCTGTGTTCGCTGCTGCTGCTGGGCTCAGCGTGTTTCTTTAATAGCTCTGGAACGACATTGCTGCGTTTGGGGGCTTTTAGCCATAGAAACCTGTCCCCATGACCCTCACCTGCGTTTTTGTGCCCGTATTGTACACCATGGATAGCTCCATCGGAGACCCTAAAAAACGCGCATTTGTGGCCAGTATGAGATGGGTACCGAGAGCCTGGCACGAGGCACAGGGCCCACAGGGTGAATGAGTAAAGGAACGAAGGACTCTGCAGTCAAATCTTACCTGCACTCTGCTCCACCAGCTCGGCGCCCGTGGGGGACGCGTGGGCTCACTCGGGGGCCAGCCTCAGGTTCTCTCCCTGTGGATTTGGCTAATAGGAGGCAGGGGGTTGGTGAATGGGTCCAGCAAGGTGGTATCTGTAATAGGACTGGCTGTATTCTTCTCTTACAGACCCTCTCCATACCATTTTCCCAGGGGGTTCTTTGGCATCCCTGCCGCTCCCAAATAACCATTAAGAGATTTATTATTAACTATAAATGCTTGTCTCCAGCCAGCTTTTTCAACTGAAATTAACCCATGTCTGTTCATCTGTGTGCTGTCCTGAGACTCGCCCCCTCCCTCTCCCATGTGAGACTCCTCGGACTCTGTCGTTTTTCTTCCCTGCAGTCTCTATGCCCTGAAAATCCTGCCCCGCTATTGGCCGATCACCTTTTCATTAACAATGAGAGCAACACATGTTCACAGTGTACGGAGATTGATGCACAGGTACCACACCGCTCCTCTTACACATCCTTAAGTCCTGCCCACGCCTGCGCAAACAGTCTCCCAGTGAGCTTCTGGCCAGTTCATCAGTTACCAGTGTCCTGCTGAGGACCTGTCTGATACTTGCCCAATGGTTATCAGCATCTAATAAGAGGAGAAGAAGATCAATGAGGGGCAGAAGGTGGCCTAGCTAGGGTTCCTTGATGCTTCTAGATCTCTCCACAGGTACATCCTGAAGCCGTCAACTATGGTTCTAGATCTCTCCACAGGTATTCCCTGAAGCCCGTACTAGATCTCTCCACAGGTGTGCCCCAAAGCCCATCAACTGTAGTTCTAGATCTCATCAAGTTGACAGTTGAAATGAGCCACCACAGTAGTCTGGGATGGCTTTGAACTCGCTATCCTCCTGCCTCAGCATGGGCCAGTGTTGAGACTGCAGATGTAGGCCACCATGCCCTGTTGACTGGATACATAATTTGTGAGGACTCTTGTTCAAATATCATGAAGAATTTCAGGACAAAGTCAACAGGGTGATAAGCTAAGCGAGACCCTACTAACCCTTTGTAGGTGGAAGTCCCTTGAATGGGCCTCTCTCCTTTCAATGTCAAGTGGTATCATGTGTATCCAGCCACATCGACGTCACTATTAAATGGAGTCAGGTGGAGTTTGTCTAGGACCAGACAATCCCCAGGGGCCATTGTCACCAGCTTCTTAACTACAATGCCCTCCTGTGGTTTAGGTAGTCTTAAATGACAGCAGCTCTGTGTATACATGCTGGTAGCCTTGGCCCAATCTGGCATTCCTCCTTCCCTGCCCAGATCCTCAGTCTTTACACACTGACTATGTTCTCTGTCCCTCACAGGGTTCCCGGTGGCATATAGAGCTCCAGCCTTGGGCAGGCCCTGCTCAGTCCCTGGATGAAGAAGCCTCAAGGTTCTTGAGCTACATCAGCACCACTCAGGTTGTGTTTCGAGCCACAGTGCACTTGGGAATAATGGCAAAGGTCCTGAGCAACCGCTGCAAGAAGGGTTGGCCCTCTAGGGCAGGAGGCTGTGAGGAATCCCTGATAGGAACAGGGTAGGGACCAGGGTTCTGGAGTGCCACTATTTAATTTCCCCCGCTCTGTGGAGGCAGAGAACATGGCTTCCGTTGCCCATCAACCTGGAATGTTCTAATGATTCATCCCCAAGTGTTTTAAAGAGTCACTTTGGGAAATCGCTTCTGAAAGCCATTTGAAGAGACAGATTTGTCCCTGTGAGTAGGCAGTCAAGTGTGTCACAAAACGGAGCCGTCATCTGGAGGTTCAGCTCCTTTCCTGTTTGGAAGCATTGGTCTGTGCGCTTCCCGGCCATGGGCACTTGGCAGCCAGGCCATGATGGCTGAGGAAGCCAGGGACTCTGAGGAGCAGTTCGAGACGTTAGTGACCCCAGTGCCCACTTCCCTCTCCTTGGAGAGCCCTAAGTCACTACTGAGCATGGCCTTTATTAGTGGCATAACACTCAGTGGCAGCTCCTGCCCAGCTCCAGGGGTGAGGCGGAGTCAGTCTCTGAGAAGGCAAAAGAACTTTCCTTAAAGAGACCCCAGGGCTCTTGACCCATTAATCAGAAGGTTCACTCTCATGTTGCCGGACCCGAGGGAAAACACAGACATAAGAGGATGCTTAGCCCTGGACTGACAGGTGGCTTTTTGAGCTTGGGAACTGATCACAATAGGGTACTCCATGGGCAGGAGTGGCCTGGACAGGGAGGCTTAGATGCTTATATCCTTAAGTCCACTGGCGCTTGGCAACGTACTGAGCCTTGCTGGCAGCAAAGCCCGTCACAAGGGATGGGAAAGAATATAGTCTAGTTTCCCCTCCCTTCCTTTGGAAGAGGCTCATGCTATTCAGGCCAGGCTAGACTGGGACTCGCCCCTGAATGCTGAGATCACAGCTATAAGCCATTGTGCCTGGCTCATTTCCTGAGCTGTAGGGACACTACTTCAGATTAAAAATCTTCTTTCTGACATGATGCAGTCAGACAGTCATAGGAATTTTAGCACTTACCACCCAAACATGGAAATAAAAGCCTGTAGAATTAATCATGGTTGAAAGAATGATAAACCAGTCCCTGTGCTTTATAGACATTTATCTTATTTCACTGCTTCAAATTAATTGGATGAACTTATCCAGGCTTAATTAAAATACTAGAATTTTAATTTTACAATTTGGCTTTACATGAGGGATAGGAGACCAAATGTCTTAATTATAACTTAAAAAGGCTCTTAATGGCCTGGAGAAAAATTAGAGTATTTAATATACAAACAATTTGAAAATGATGAGCTCCATCTAACAAAATGAATTTATTGAATGTAAGCCTCCAAATTCCATCTTACATGTATTTTAGGTTAACGTTCTATAACGTACGTAAGGATCTTTACTTAAAAGAGGCATTGGGGCATTTAGTTGTCATTTCAGATGTCTTATGTCTTTCTTGTGAGCTGTGGTCTGAGAGGGTAAAGGAAGTGTGTTCTGATGCCCTGAGGTCAATGCTGGGACCTGGACAGTTGATTTTGCTCCTATGGTTGTTGCCATTCTGATCCTGAAAAGCTTGAGGTTAGACCAAATGCCTCTAAGATCTCCTCTGTGGCTGAGCACTGTATACAAAGTAGGTTAGGGCTGTTATTAGCCAAGTATTTCTGAGCACCTATGTGGCCAGGGAATTGGGAAGGCATTGGGCTCACGGCCTCGGCCTCAAGGAGCCCAGGAATGAGGGTCACACACTTACTGATAGAGGGAGAAGCTGGTGTTTGTTTGCAGCTGTGGGAGGAAGACTCTTTCTACCACAGTGTGATGCGGGCTCTGCATCTGGATCCTGACTAACACAGAGCAAGGCGGACAGCGTTTCTGCCAAACTTCCCAAGAGTCTTCGTGAGACAGTGATATCCTAAGAAATGGCCCGTACACCTTTTACGTGACGGAAAATGGGTTGGTGCCTGATCTGTGGTGGGGACCTCAGCAGCAGAGGGGTGGGGGCCGCGTCCTAAGAGCTAGTGGATGATGAAGTTGACGCTGAAGTTAGTTTATTCTGTCTTATTGAAATCCCAATGGGATCTAGGGTATTTCCCAGCCGCAGTATGGGAAGGCCACCCCACTCCCCAAAGAATCTGTATAGCTTGTTACATATAGGAAAAGTCAGGCCAATGGCTGACTCTGAGGCCACAGTGCCTAAGTGACTGTGGCACTGTGGCTTGAAGTAATGGTTGTACCCAGTTTGGAATATTTTGAAATGATATGTCCTGAGTTCCTTCCAGACTCAGTGGGAGGCTCTTTGTGCTTCATAAAATGTGACAGATTGCAGACCTCACAATGGCTTTGTAATCAGGGGACATTTATCCGGTGAAGCTCTGTGCTCTGATGGCTTCCAGGTGGGAGCCACAATGGATGACACCGAGTGTTCATCAGACCGTTTCACCAACCAGGCTCCTGCCCCTTCTCCGTTCAGCAAGGAGCTTCGGGGATGCTTTTGTGACTTATGCCTCATTTAGAAATCATCTAACAATGGAAGCCTGCAAAACTTGCAGAACATTAAAGTCACTGCTACCTAAAATTTTCAGTTAGCAGCAGTGAGTCACTAAATGAATTCCACCCCCATCCTCCTATGCTGCTTTAAAAAAAAAATATCCCTCACATCTATGTTCAAATTCATACAGTAAGGCGCAGCCTTTGGTAAGTTCATGGCTGAAGTTTTTGTGTATCAGTACAAAGGCCTATGCTGATCACATGCCCAGGGGCTGGCAGGATCTGGTCTCTGGGATCTTCAGCATTAATAAAATGTCCCTCTCTAATGGTAAGTAGGATATGAGAGGCATCTGACTGAGGACAGGCCCGTGGGTTGGCATTAGACAGCCATGGGTGTGGTACCCCTGTGCTTAGTGATGACCTTGATGGCATGGTGAGGGTTCTGAATTTTTTCTTTCTTTCTTTCTTTCTTTCTTTCTTTCTTTCTTTCTTTCTTTCTTTTCTTTTCTCTTTTTTTCTTTCTTTTGGTGAAACATCAGAGGATGCCATATTTAACCAGAGTGTGCAGAGTGTCAGGCCCAGTTTAATTAGCAATATTGTTTGTCTTAATATGGGCGGCCCAAATGACACCACAGAGTTCTGCAGTCAGTAATAGAGTGAGCTGCTAACAGGAAATGGTTAACTTAGAATCTCTTGCCTGTGCTGATGGAAAGGTTCAGAGCCAGCTCTTTATGGCGGCCCATACCATATGCTCCAGGAAACAAGCCTCCCAGTAAGGAGTTCACGTTAGCAGCAGTGGCTGTTCTAAATAAGAAGAAATGTTTTAAATTCTATTTTTCTGTTACTGCTCATCTGTAATCTGTTATTCATACAATTATCTCCACATCTACTTGTAAAATACCCAGAAAGTCAGGCCCTAGAGACCTGGAGACACAGATTAGAGTTTTGCAATATTGTATCAATAGTATGTACTATATTTGTGTTCTCTCTCTCTCTCTCTCTCTTACACACACACACACACACACACACACACACACGGGGGGGGGATGGAGAAAACAAAATATTCAGTTCTGCCTTTAAGCTTCCCAAAATAATGTAACCATATGAATATACACTTAATTTTTAAGGGATTATTGCCAAAAACTCCCCAAATTTTAAGGGCTCTTTTTGCCACATTCTACTCATGGCTTGGTAGAATTGCTATTCAAGCTTTTGGGATGCAAAACAAAATGGAAAACGAGTTAGATCCCTTTAAGCTAAATAAATAAAAAAAAATTCACAAAACATTTTCTTTTCCTGGAGTCTGTTTGCCTTTGTCCAGACCTAATTTACTTTATATTGCTAAAATTACAAGGGGAATTAGGCAGGCAGAGGGTATAATTACTTCAGCTGGAGCTTAGCTTGGAGTTGCTGTCCTTGCTTATTTTGCTTGTAAGAGAGTTTATTGAAACCTTGGCTATAAATCTTAACCAGAAAGTTTGAAAAAAAATCAATATTTAATTAATTTTTAAGAGCAGAATTTTATGGATGGCTTGTAGTTATTTTCTAACCTCCCCTCACTAAAAAAGAAAAAAAAACAAAAACTCGAATGTCCGTCAATGAGATAGTTAATGAATGGTTAAAACTGGATAATTCCTGATTGGTTTTTTTTTTTTTTTTCCTAAGAGAGGAAGAGGGGTTTTAAAAATGGTGTCTCTCTGATAGGAGAATATCTGTGGCAGATGAAATCTTAGAAAAAGAAAAAAATGTAATCAGATAAAGTTGGATCATGGTAGAGAGAGAAGACCATGGCTACGTCTCAGGACGGTAGCCCTGGACTGAGATCCTGGGGCCCTGGGTCTCTTCCTTAGAGAGAGGCCTCCGGTTAACTGTTCTTTGTGAGGGGTCTAAGCGGATGCTGTTTTCTGTTGAAAGCTCTGGCCCAGGTCCAGTCACTTCCCTTCACTTTCTACGGAACAGGTAGGAAGACCTGAGACATGGCCAGGGTCACTTTTTGAGGGACTTTATAAGAGGCCAAACCCTCCAGCTGCCTGAGGGCCCCAGCAGAGCCTATTAGACGGCATCTTCCTTGGGTCGGGATACTGTGTATTTAGAGGGACCCAGAACCTGCCCCCACCCCCTTTCTGGAACAGTTTCTGTTTTTATTTATTTTTCATCATTTTTTAAAAATTGTAAAACAATCTTTTCTTATTCCAGCTCCCATTTTTTGCCCGTTCTCCTGTTCTCCTCCCCCCCCCCACCCCTATCCACTCCTCAAGGCAAGGGTTCCCATGGGGAGTAACAAAGTCTGGCACCTCTCCTTGAGGCAGGACAAGCCCTGCCTCCCTGTATCTAGGCTGAGCAAGGTATCCCTCCAAAGAGAATGGGCTCTAAAAAGCCAGTTCAAGCACTAGGGATAAATCCTGGTCCACTGCCAGTGGCCCCACAGACGGCCCAAGCCACACACATTCGGAGGACCTGGCCTGGTCCTATGCAGGCAGAACCTTCCTTTTTACTGCAAACCAATCTCTAGGTGATTCTGAAGCAGGGGGCGGCACCTTAAGCAACACCTAACAGGACAGAGTGGAGTTTTGGTGCCACCAGAAAGGCAGCAGGAACATGGCCCATGTGTCATCATGGCAGGTCTTAGGGAGAGGTGTCTGCAAGTATCCGATCTTCAGAGAAGGGCACTGCCCTGGAGCGAAGGGCTCAGGCTTAGGCAGGCTTAGGGGCCACAGAAGTAAGTGCCTGGGTCTCACCAGCCTCCCAGAGGAGCAGAAGGGCTGAGTTCCCCCGGCTCAAGACACAGCAAGTTCCCCATTAGTAGATCAGCTTTGGCCAGTTAGATTGGCAACGCCCCTGCCCTTGGGTAGGTGAGGAAGAGCAGGTGGACAGACAGAGGCAACATTGCCATTTCTCTCTGTTAACACCTGTGTTCTGTAGTTGTTGCTGGAACGGTCTCCAGTGACTGATTTCTCCTTCCAACCACGGTTAGAGACACAGAGGTGGAAAGACCCTGGGTGGATAGGAAAGAAAAGTGAATGCTCTCCTGTGTTTTTCTTGTGACTGTTTTTGAGAGTAGATGCATGCAACTTAAGCCGGCCTCAAATTCCTCATGTAGCTGAAGGAAGCCTTGAACTCTTGATGTCCTTTCTTCTACCTCCTCAGGGCTGGAACTATGAACAAGTGCCACCCTGCCTGGCTGTTTTGACTTTTGGCCACCCTGCCTGGCTGTTTTGACTTTTGTTTTTTTTTTTTTTACTTTGAGGTCTTAATTTATGTGTTCAAGTGTTTGCCTACATGTATGTTTGTGTGCTGTGTGTACACACAGCCCACAAAGATCAGAGGAGAGTACTGGACCCTCAGGGACTGGAGTTAACAGTTAGTTATGAACCATCGTGTGGGTGCTGGGAATCGAGCCCTGGTCCCCTGGAAGAGCAGCCAGTGCTCTTAGACACCAAGCCATCTCTCTAACCGTGTTTCCAGTTTTACCTGGGCGCGTGCGCACATGCACGCAGGCTGTAAGTTCATGTGGAGGCCAGAGGTCGGCATCAAATGTTTTCTTCCGTTGCTTTCTTTCTTCTCATCTTATTTATTGATGCAGGGACTTTCACTGACCCTGGAGCTCACAATTCAGCTAGACTGGTCATGGAGCCAGACCCACAGGGTCATGACAGAGTGCTTGAGTTACAGACAACAGTGTAGTTACAGATGACCCAAGATGCCACTGAGGACTTTGCAGCAATTGCTTTACACACTTGCTAGCCCTAGAGTATCTTCTTAAGAAAAACAAAGCAAAGAAAAACAAAAAGAGACCTGCTGTTGTTTTCCAATGAACAAAGCAGTGAACACCAGAGCGCCTTTCTATCTGCAGGGTCTTTTGTCTCTCAGGTGATGGTTAGGAGAGCTCGGAGGAATGCAGAGAACAGGGACCTTCGGTCACTCAGTGAGGCCAGTGTCTGGGTCTCATAACTGTTTTCTCCTATCAGTACGAGCCCCCCCCCCCCAGCTCAAGCCGTCCTCCCTTGGGAAGTTCATTTGCTTGCTGTGCATTGGAATTGGGCTTCTCCCTGCTTAACTTCCATCCACAGTCCCTTTGGCTTTCTTACCTAATTTTGAAGCATGGGTTAAGAGAAGTGCTTGGGTCAGCTGGGCAGCACTCCCCACTCCAGGCCTCTCTTCCAGGACGCTGCTCCTTAGAGGTTATCATTAGAATAATTAGCTCATTAGAGAACCCTGTCTCCTCGCTGGGACAGGATAGCGCAGGCTACTTTTCTGGCCTCAGCGCCGCCCTCTCCTTATCTGCCTGTAGTAAGGCACAGGTAACCTTGTGAATGTCTTGCTCAGCATTGTGTCACACTTTTGCAGCAGCCACAATGCCCAGGTCTCAGTCCAGACACCCTTCCGTTCAGCGCCTCCTCCCCACTCACACACAACCTCCCAACTCCTCTTCCCATCCCGGTTCCCAATTTGCAATCTGGGCAGATGGCTACTGCAGCCCATTTCCTTTGAAACCCGCATTGAGTCTGCACGAGGTTACTTCTTATCCGACAGACTTGTAATTGAAATTCCTCTGAACATTTCGCAGCAGTCTTGTGGTTCCCTGGGGGGAAAGAATGGTTTGCAGTGGGGGACTTTACTCTCCCATCATTATTTCCAGGAGCAGGGAAGGCAGTTAAGTCTGTGTCTGCCATTCATCATGTAGCATTTTAAATTTTTCATATTGATTTCCAATCCTTACAGATTGCATGCGATCACATGGGTACAGACAGCTTGGCTGCTGACTCCAGCCCTGCAACGAATCCCTGGCTGGTGTGTCTTGATGACAGGTTTGGCTTAGCTCATCAAATCCGCAGCAAGCGCTGCCGCCTCTACTCCTTAGGGTAAGACATTTTTCATAGCAGAGGAGAACACAAACATTCATGCTGGCAGCCGAGGCCTCTTCAGTGATGACGGGGTGGCGGGGGCAGTGTGTACGGGCAATGAGATTTGTCTCTTGCCTCTGCTTCAGGCTGACCTGCTGTATGGGCAGGTGCTGGCATGTCTCTGACTGAGGTCATCTTGGCAGGATCCACCTTACCTTCCATCCTGCTGCAAAGTGCTTCACTTTCAGCATGAGGAGGGGCCCCTTGGAGAAACCAGAGGCTTCCAGCGTGAACTAGACACCCTTGTTAGAGAGAGAAAAATATCAGTGGCTGTATAAAGGAAAAGTGTGCCAGGAATGCTCACACAGCTATGAATGACCCAAGACAGCCAACAGCCACTACTGTGTGTGTGTGTGTGTGTGTGAGTGTGTGTGAGTGTGTGTGAGTGTGTGTGGGTGTGTGTGAGTGAGTGTGAGTGTGTGAGAGTGAGTGTGTGTGAGTGTGTGAGTGTGAGAGTGTGTGTGAGTGAGTGTGTGAGAGAGTGTGTGTGAGTGTGTGTGTGAGTGTGAGTGTGTGTGAGTGTGAGAGAGTGTGTGTGAGTGTGAGTGTGTGTATGAGTGTGTGTGTGAGTGTGTGTGTGAGTGTGTGTGTGAGTGTGTGTGTGAGAGTGTGAGTGTGTGTGAGTATGTGTGTGAGTGTGTGTGTGAGTGTGAGTGTGTGTGAGTGTGAGTGTGTGTGTGAGTGTGTGTGAGTGTGTGTGTGAGTGTGTGTGTGAGTGTGTGTGTGTGTATCTGTGATCAAGCTATGTGCAGCTTTGCATTTAGGTAAAAAGAAAGTAAAGGGAATTCTTAGAAAAAGCATGCAATTTTTGCCAAAACACTGACTTAGTTATACAAGCTGAAAATGACCTCGATATACTACAAACAGATTTCAAGAGGGTCTATAAAAAGATGGATATAAATTAATGGGACTATTTCAGCAAGTGTGTCAGCCCTTTTGTAAACCGTCCTGAACTTACAGATTGTGTCTCAGGTTTCTATGACTGTGATGAAACACCATGACTAAAAGCAGCTTGGGGAGGAAAGGGTTATTTATGCTTACAGTTCCACACCACAGTTCACCCAGAGAAGTCAGAGCAGGAGCTCCAGGCAGGAAGTGGAGGCCATGGAGGGGTGTGGCTCCCAGTGTTGCCTTGGCTTGCTCAGTCTGCCTTCTTTTAGAACCCAGGACTATCAGGCCAGGGGTGGCCACACCCACAGTGGGCTGGACCCTCCCACATCAATCGCTAATTAAGAAAATGCTCTACAGGCTAGCCAGATCTTATGAAGGCATTTTCTTAATTGTAGTTCCTTCTCAGATGACCCTAGCTTGTGCCAAGTTGATACAAACAAAACACAGTCCCCCCCCCCCACACACACACCCAAAACAATAAAACAAAACAACAAGGATAAAATGATACACGTCTCAAAACAAAGGAGAGAATTATTTCTGCTCAGTAGACTGCAGAGAGCAAGTGGGTTCTCAGGTTAGGCCACTGTAGTACTTTTAAAGCAGTTAAGAAGACCCTAAACAATGTCGCTCTAGGTCTCACTTACTTTATTCCACTCTGTGGTCGTGGGTAGAGGAAGACACCTCGGTGTCTGGAGACCTCCCCAAAGGAGCTGGTTAGGAGGGGAGCATCATTGCTGTCCAACTGTTACAAGCAGTTGTGGGCAGGGGTGTAGTCAGTAGAGTGCTTGCCTAGCATGCATGTGGCCCTGGCCTTAATCCTCATCAGTACAGAACCAAGGCATTTATACCTAGACTCCTACCACTCAGGAGGTAAAGCTAGGAGAATCGGAAGTTCAAAGTCACCCTCCACTGTATAATGAGGTCAGAGCCAACCTGGGATAACACGCGGTCCTGGATCAAAAACAAGGGATTGCAAGTCATTTCAGATTTTTATAAAACAAAGAAAGAATTCAGGTACAAGGCTGAAGTTAATATGTTCTTAAGTGGTTCAAATGAAGATATGTTGCAGGTGTCTCAGGATGGGACTTGGCATGTTGGTATTGGCTTGCTTGAGAAGGAGACCCAGGTAATGTGTTGAATGGCACTGAAGTCAGGCAGGAGCTGTGCAGCCTGTGGGTTAGAGTCTAGCTTTTCCTAGAAGCCTCCAGCTCTGCTTCAAGTCTGTAGGGAGGACTAGAAGTCATGACAGTGGTATTTATTTTATGTCACGTTAAAAATTTGTGAAAGTAGGTTAAAAAATAATTGCATAGTATAGCATGCAAGTTGGCAATGTAGTCATGATCCCATTTCCTGGTCCCAAGCTTTACATTCTGCTTAACATTTTACATTCCACAGTAAATTCATTTAAGAATATAACTGAATAAGATAAAACCTGGGGAGTTATTTAGGGTGTGTTTGGAAATCTTTCCCTCCAAGCTGTTAGATAAGATGGTTCTGCAGCAAGATTTTAGGTTATTACAGAGAAAAACATTATTTCCTTTCATTTGCATTCAAAAATCATCTTTGCAAAAAGCAAATGAGAACTCCTGAATTACACTGGAAACAGAAATGACTAGATTATAACAGTCAATGTTTGATGAAAGACATGAAAGCTTTTATTACAAACTGCAATCTATCTGAGCATGGTGGCTCACACCTTTAATCCAAGTTCTCAGGGGGCAGAGGCAGGTGCATCTTTGGGAACTCAAGGCCAGCTGGTCCTGTCCCCAAATGAGGTCCTGTCCCCGAAAACAAAACAAAACAAAGCAAACAATCAATCAAACAACTCTAAAACTCAAAACTCAAAACCAAACCAAAAATCCACACAGAAACAAGGACAAAGAAAGGAAAGAAGACTTGAGTCTAAAGAAAACACTTGTGATAGAGAGAAATAACACTTCTTGATTGCGGGCAACGGGTGGCGTGGGGTCTGGGATCTAGACGACACTCCTGTTTTGATGAACTACTTGTTGAGGACGAGTAGATTGCTGTTTGCCATCTCAAGTAATACTGAGAGGAGACACACAAGTGGCCGAGTAGACACTCCCACTACCGGGAGGGTCGGTCCTGTGTCACCAGCGTCTGGGAGCCTTGGGACAGTTGTGATAGCGGGAGGGTGGATGAGGAATCTGTGGCCCCTGCGAACAAGTGCGTGTGCGAGCTCGTGAGACCGGCAATAACGAAACTGCGCCTCTGCTGGGGCCATTGATTCTCAGGTAAACCAGAGAGACAGGTGCACCTGGGGGTGGGGTGGGGGCGTGCTGGCCCGAGAATCCAGGAGTCAGGGGGCAAAGGCTGCGTCTGATCTGCCTCATCCTTTCTCCTCCGCCCTCGTAACTGCCACAGGTCTTCCCTAGACTGCCTCCCCCAGGGTTAGCGTTTCTCTGCTGCGAGTCAAAGTTCCATATTCCACGGGAGGCGTAAAAAGACAACTGACGAGTCCTATCAAAACTTAAACTCGGGTTCGCTTTTCAAATGGTGTGGAGTAGGCCAGTGAACGTACTGCAAGGGACAAGAAAGGAAGGTAGACGTTGAAGGGAAGAAAAAGAAGAAGCAGAAAGGCCACGGGTTCGGAGGGTAGTGCATAGCTTACAGTTTCAGACGGGCTCTTCCCGTGTCCACAGTCGGGAGGGGATTGTCCAGGTGTGGTGGCAGGACACAGGATGAGTGGACCAGAGAGAGACGTCGCCTAGTTTACCGTCATGGCAGCGATTGTGTTATAGGGGTCGAACCGAGTAGCCAGGAAGAAGAAACGAGGCAGAGGCCGCCGTCTTCATTTCCCCCTGCTCCGTGTTAAGTTAGACTCTTTTGTTTCGATACACGACTTCTTGGTGTAAGACAGAAGATTCCCTATGTCACACATGGAGGCAACTCGAGCCAGTGTTTTAGACAGAAAACCCGCAATGTGGCTGGGAGCATTTCAAGGAGACTGAATGAGCCTCCCAGTCAAATGCGTTCGTTTCCCAGAGCTTGAATGGAGCCAGCAAGAGCAGCGTTAGCACAGGACACAGGAATAGAGGAGGAGAAGATGCTGGGTCTCAGTGTTCCTCCTCACTCTCTCCCTGATCACCAGCTGTGGTCCGTAACACCACGGACACGCTGTGCAGCTGTTTGTGCCATGGGTAATATCTATGCTTTATTGGTAAAAAGAGGAGGCATGCGTGTGTGTTCCCTAAAATCTCCACTTCATTCCCTTGGGAATGAAAAGTGTCCTGAAAATACATGGGTTTCACTGTGGAGCCCTGCCTGTTCTGGAATGCCCTATGCAGACCAAGCTAGCTTCAATGAGATCCTCCGGCCTCTGTCTCTTGAGTACTGAGATTAAAGGCATATACACCACGCCTGACTTCATGTTTTAATGACAGTTTGGAATTTCATGCATTGTCTGTCCTCTGTGTGCTTTGAGACCCCCCCTCACCACATACCTCCCCACACACGTACATATGTATGTGGCAGTTTACAGACGTAGCCCGCCACCTGGCCAGAGTGTCTTCTGTACTGCTGATGTGCTCACAGTCGGGAGGAGAACACTTCTCACTACTTCTAGACCTTTCCTCTCAGGACGAAGGCTGGAAAACTTCTGATGTGTACCCCAAATTTACTTTTGATTGTTTTTAGCTTAACAGTTTTATTTACATAATAATACACTTATATACTATGTATAAATATACTTAGGTATTTAAACATATTCTGTCAACACCTTATTGGCCTTTTCAATTATGCGCCTTCTAGTAGTTGGGGTGGGTATCTCACTGTGGGTTCAGATTGTCTTTCCCTACTGAGTAATGGATCCTGAGCATCTTTTCATATCCTTATGCACTAAGATTTTGATTCCCAGGGGACATAAGACCCACTTACTGTGAGACACTCAAGCCTGCTTAAAAACAGGCTAACTAACCAAGGCCTTCCGCAATCCACTCCCTTTTCCTTTCAGAGCACACAGATGCTGATATGTATGGTTCAAATGCTTAAAGTACACTCATGGCCGTCCAAAGAACACTGGTGTACAACTTGTATGATAAGCCCTG